ATAATTTTTTAATTCAAATAATATTTTTTTTAAAAATTGGGATTTAACACGTTGACTGCCACCCATATTCGACCACTTATGAAGAATCTTCGTAGATATTTGAAAAGATTGTTATAAAAATAATAAAAAAAATAATTTATTAAAAAAATTATTTTGAATGTAGAATTTTAAAACATTCTATACAAAGCTGAGGTTGATCCGGATAATTTGGACAAAAAGTTGTTGTCTTTTATCCGAATAACATAATTTGCGTGCAGTCTAATACTTATACAGAATTATTTTTCCGATATTATGTTGACTCCGTTGAAAGTTTTGACAAGGTTTTGTTGTATTTTCCTAATAAATCCTAATAATTTTGCAGCTAATAATTCTCTAAATCTTCTAATTTTGAGATATCACGAGTTTCATGATGATACTTACTATGACATTGTGAAAAATCTGGTCTCTAATAAACAAGCCACACGAATAATTTATATACAATCCACAACTAAAAAGTATATTTGTTACAACTAATCGAAAGGCATTCGACAGTCATATCATCCAAATTATCCGGATTAAAATATCTAAAATATACTAAACTCAGTACTATTATTCAATACAATTATTATTATTAATATTTTTATTGCGGACGCAAACAGTAATGGAAACAAATGATGCGAGACATCATTCTTGCTACCATCAACACGATTCACGTTGCTAATATTGGCAGTCAACGTGTTAATCTTTGTTATTATTTATACTTTTTATTATTATTATTTCTTTAAAAATAATATATAAAAGAAAATTAATACTGCATTTAATAGAATAAAAAATAATAGTGATCAATATATAGAAATATAAATATATAAATATAGAAAAATTTGTTCGGAAAGTAATTTCGTTTCTTCACACGAGCGTCGCTAGTCGAACGTTTTGTTTAGCCAGCCTCGTTCTAAACCGTGTTTATTACATATTTCGAGAGATGGCATTTCTGCGCGATTGTGTCTTTCGTTCACTACAACAAGGAGCATTTTCTCCATATTTCACTTTTTTATTATCGAAAAGGTAAAAATGTCGAAATTGGTTTTCAAAATTTTTACGTTTCGTTCTCATGAAAAAAAAAAACAAGATTACTTTTCGAACATTTCGAGACTCGCCTCTCGAGCACAAAAGATTGATAATTCGTCCTGCGATAATCTCTCGATTATTATAAAAATAAAATCGCTCCTTTCCAGGTATCCATAAACGGTTACTTAGAGTTCACCGATCCCCCACAACATTACACGTATCCTCTTGTGTTTCCAGTCAAATGTTGGCCGAAGGAGAACGATCCCAGTTTCATAGGGATATTTTTCAGCAAATGTCGCGTAGGGGAAATACGGTCGACGGACAGAGATCAGAGAAAGCCAGGTGTATACTTTAGGTAGTATAAAAGAAAGTATGATAAAAAGGTATAAATATAGAGAACAGAATATATTTATCAAGAGAAATATATATATATATATTTTAACAAAGTTTAATCGAGGAACGAGATTAAAATTTTATATCAATACTTGTTCGAGAATACTTCGAAAATAATTTATTATTTATATTATGTTTATATAATATATTATTTATATATAATAAATAATATATATATTTATTATATATATTATAATTAATAATTTATATATTTATATATATATTCACTTGATTTTTTTAAATTTGAAATTTTTGAAATTTCTAGGATCGAACGAGATTTACGAACGAGGAGAGACCAATTCGGGGTCGAGATGCGCGAACGTCTCATGTGGGACGTTCGCGAAGGTATGATCGGCGCCGAAGCTTTCGTGCCGAAACACGCGATCACCGTCACGTGGAAAAACGTATCGTTCACGGGTGGTATCGACAAATCCCTTTACATCACCAACACTTTCCAAATAGTCCTAGCGACCGACGAGGTGAACACGTACGCGATGTTCAATTATCCGGACGTTCAATGGACCAGTCACACGGAGACAGGTGGCGACACCGTGCACGGCGATGGCGGCATTTCAGCATTCGTAAGTTTGGATATCCTTGAACATTTCAATTGAGAAACGAATTAAATGGAGATTCAATTTTTGGAGGAGGGTTGTGGCTTTTTTTCTTGAATCATTTTGCTAGATTTTATGCACCTTACGTGTGTACCTTTCTTTCGTTTCTTTATCTTTAATTTAATCCTAAAGTCTTTGCACTCCAGGCCTTTTTCGCCAAAATTCATACGATTTTCCGCATTCGTTCGATGAATTTCTTGGCTAACTTAAAATGATTTCACACACAAATTAATATATAAATTTTTTATATTATGATATTTTATGTATCTTTACACGTGAAGAGAGAAAATATTTGTCGAATATTAAAGTCTATATTGTGTTATTCGTGTATTATTTTAATAATAACATAATTACCAAGATGCATCCTCGATTTGTCAGGACAATATATAGTGATGAAATGTTGTTTGATGTTTTCCACCTTTCTTATTTTGTCGAGAGCAAACCTTACAATTCCAATAACGAAGGTTCTCACATTCACCATCTATTATTCTTATTTTTCGTTCATTCTATATTTTTCTTACACTACATCTCTATTTTCCATCTCTATTGTCAATTTCTTAAACGAAAAATCAAATATAATTTCATTCACTGGATTCCACGCTTACAAAACTATAAAATTTTGAAAATAATATTTCTATTCCCATCATTGTTAAACTCAGACATCAAAAATGTGATTCGATCCGCAATATCACGGTCTAATTTGAAATTTAAAAAATCATTCGATAGTATATTATTCAATACTTTATAAGATTATACGTAAATAGTTTAAGAATATCTTCGTGATATTTAAAAAAAATCAAACATAAATAAATATTGTTACATCTGATCCGAGTGGTGCCTGCATCATCATTGGAACTCAAAAAGTTAATTTCGATATAAAAAAGTATCTTTTTTCCCCAATCAAACGTATTTTATTGTGAAAGAATATTAATTCGATATCACCTTTTTAAATAATTAAAAAACTCCAATTCTTAACAAAACCACACTATTATACGCAATATTATAATTCGAATATCGACGAATATTTTCTTCCATCCTTAACTTTAAAAATAATCATCCATCTGGAAATAAATTCAATTTCATTTTCAATTTCTCAATCTCGTGAGAAGAAGGAGATCACACGAGACGAATCGTTAATTATCGTCCATACTTACAAAGCTGAAAAACTTTGAAAATAATATTTATTTCTATTTCCACCACTGTCAAACTCGGATCAATGTCAAAAATATAGTTCGATCCGCGATATCACAGTCTAATTTGAGATCCACACTTTATAAGATTATACAGCTTAGGAATCTATTTTGTGAAGCGATATTTTAAAAACATCAAACATAAATAAATATTTTCGCCGTTCGAATCGATTGAAATAATGGTGGAGAATCGCCAAATTAATTATTTTTAAACAAGATTTCCAACTATGTTACATCAATTGTTAAGAAGCTCTTCTTATAAACATTTTTCAAAATTAAATCAGCCATTATAGCATGTAATATATTTTTATTTTATATCATACAAATGTAGAAATTTTGGGAGAATTAACCATTGATTCGTTTCATCATTGATTAATTATTAATTAATAATAAATTTAATATAACATCATCTGATTCTTGTTTTAGGTTGGTTTCAACGCCGGAAATGGCACAGGAAGCTACGAGTACAAGCCTTACTCTCAAACGCCGCGCATACGTGATCTAACCAGAGCAGGATGGGTAAACGGTTTTCCAGGACGACACATGTTCAAGATAGACGAAAAAATAATTCCTGCAATTTGCAGTTGATATATTATATATTATAAAATTATAAAATTGAGAGAGCAATTATTAACCAATTATTCAAATGTTTTATCTTATCTTTTGAAAATGTATGTTTGTAATAATAAGTAATAATAAAATTGTTTTTATTTTTTCTTTTGAAAAACTTATATTTTTATTGATTAAAGATTTTAGAATGGGTTAATGTATAAGTTGTTTATCTACTTAGAGAGCTTGGATCCAAAAATAAAATATAGAATATAAAATTGTGATTTTGGCCATCTCTGTAATTTCTATAATTCCAAGCTCTTTATGAATAGAAAAATAATAATAGAATAATAATTTTTAGTAAACTTTTTCTCTCAGGTCAATCACATCATAATCTTAATTTTCTATTATCTCTATTACCTTATTCTTCTATTCTTATTCTCTATTTACATATTATCCCTTTTCCTTCTATTTCTTTATAAAAAAAAAAAAAAAAAGTATTCTTCCATTCTCATCCTCTATTCCTTCTTTCATTTTCTATTTTTCCATTAAAATAACAAGAAAT